TGGCTAGTGATGCCACAGGGGCTGAGTAATGCTCCTGCAACATTCAATAAATGTGTCACAAATCTGTTGACTGATCCGGGACAAGGCGGCAGGTCCAGGTGGACTTAATAATGACTTTTGCAAGGGCATGTCTGCTCTCCGTGTCCCTGTCCTGGTGGATATCAGCAATAAAATTATGGAAGGTGATGATCCACCTCCCTCTTTTGCGAAAGCATTCATTACTCCTTTGCGTAAAAGGGGGACTCGACCGATGCGATGGATTATCGACCCATATCGTTATTGCAAAAGAGTCATACGATTCTTGCAAACGTGTTGGCAAGGCGGCTGCCGCTGGTTCGTTTCAACTCACTAAGCTGTCGGATCAAGGCTTTGTTCATGGTAAACATATATTAAAGCTTGTAATAATGATGATGTCTCAACTAGCCTCGTAATAGCACGATGAGACTCAAGCGGCTGAGAATAGCAGATTTATCTTAATACTCGACTTTTGGAAGGTATGCGATACAGTCGATCGGGACCTTTTTATATGAGGCCCTACAAAGCTATGCTTTTGGATAGCGGTATATTCAGCTGATCAAGCGACCCCGCATGCCGGGACGACGGCGTCTTTCCTCGTCAACGTCATACTCTCCGTAACCTTTTATAGTGGTATCAGGCATTCGCCAAGGGTTCTTGCCCGCCCCTACTACTTTTTCTATCGACGGCTAAGCGCTCGGGGGTCGCTATTCAACAATCCCTGACTTTTACATACTTCCAGTCCCAGGTGTCGGGAAGGATTTTCACACATTTTTGCTTTCGTAGATGACTCAACCATCTTTCTCAACAAAGCGCAACATTTACCACCGGTGCGTAATAATGTAACCAACTTCGGCGCTTTTTTGTCTGTTTTCAGGTGCAGACGGCCAAGATTGAATTTGTTTTCTGAAATCGAGCAGTCAGATTGTCGATTATCACGAAATGTTGGTAATTCGAGCCGGCGAAACCACACGTAACTTTGGACCAAAAGTCGGAACGGGTGAACTCTATCATCGCAACTAGGCGCTTCGAATTCGGAAGCTCCAGAGGCGACTGATCGCAGCTTCAACAATCGCAACTAATGTCGACTCTTGAATGCTTATTCTAAATGCAGTCATCTTGTCTTCTATCCTTCATGCGGCTGCGGTTTTCGAGATGCCAGATTGGGCGAGAAAATAAATCATAAACCTGAATAAACAATTTTTGTGGGCACATGCGATTTCGTCGGAAGCAAGTGATACAATATTATCCCTGCTTAACTGTACAAGCCAAAAAAAAGGCAGGCAGAGTCGGTCTCGCCTCGATAAAGGTAGCTATATAAAAAGCAACGCACGAAACATGCGCTGCGTTGGCTAACCCAATTCCGCGACAAGAATTTTATATCTGGCGTTCCAAGCGTATCAAGGTAGATCCACTATTATATTGCGCTTATGCACGAGTGGCTGCGGTGGCGAGATCATTTAACCTGCTCATCATTAAAGCCTTCGAAGGATTTTCTTGCCCGGGATATAGACAACTTTTGAAACTAACGGCGGAGATGATGGTGCACCGCCGAGCTCGGGAGGAGCTCGTCACACCATTTCACTGACGTGCTATCGATCGCATGGTAGCAATCAGCCTTCCTACGCGCTTCCTGACATGCGCATCGGACACCACTACGAGTAGACCCAACAAGCCACGTCAACCGACTCTGGCAACAGGAATTTGATGTACGCTAATGTCCAGTCACTAGAGGGAAAGCGTCGACGACGGCGCGCACTTGCAAGTGCTTGACACATTTTGATCAACTGGTGTGCAAGCTGGCGATCGGTGGAACGATGGTGACTGGATCGTATCGTATGCTACTATATTTCAGTACGACGTCGCAACCCCAGATTACCACCAACAAGCAGTGTATCTATTTTGGGACGTTTGAATGGAGTGACAATCCGTGGATACGGGATACGAAAGGTGCGAAACTTCTGCACTCGACTTACTTTTTCAGATGTGACAGAGCCTTGGCAACTAAAATTGCAATTTTAACACTTCCTCGTTTCGACGATAAATTAAGTGAATATTTGCCCCTTCTTGATGAAATGTTTCGGAACGCAATCGTGCCGAATTTAAATGACAAAGGATATGGAAATTCGCTTTTTTGGAACAAAGTATATTTGTTTAATTATTTGCAAAAAAGGAAATGATTTAAAGTTACATACATTGGTGCTAAAACAGATACGACCAAATTGACGCCTGCTCTATCGCGGACCTACTGAGTACATTCGGCGGACAGGGCACACCGATTTAGTGTTTACCATCCCTGCCGCGAGGTACTAAGTACTCCCAGCCCAAACTTTGGCGGTAGGCGACTGCTATAGTATAAGTCTCCCTATTTCGTGATTGGATCGGAAATAAGTCTAGAACCCACCTCATCGATAAGGCATCCTCCTCCGTTTTGTAAGGAATATGACTAGGCGACTGAGCGAAGAGGTAGCATTGTGTGTGCTCGCAGAGGTCTATCCGGATCGGATGTCGGTACGATTCGATTGCAGCAAGCCGTCGACGGGCTGCACTGGTATTTTCTTACCGAAGCTTCGGAACTCGACGCAACACCGGATGATGAGCGTTCGAGATGAGCTATGTACATTCGGCAGCACGCAGTGGTCTTTTGCGCCCACCCTAACAGTCATCGCTACGCGTGGGGGGTACCGCAAATGGTTCCCAATGAATCCATTCGACGGGCTATTGTCCAACGGGCCTGCCGGCTCCACGAATGCTAGCTATCTCTGCCTATGAAACCCATGCTGGACCGATTAGATGCTACTATTCGCACGGATACGTGGCAAAGAGCCGCGGCACATCAGCTTCGTTCCTAGGTATGCAAGCATGATAACGACCTTTCTGCCTTTCAAGTTTAGACGGCGTACCGCGTTGCGACCAATCAATTTAGTTTCTATCACGAGGGCCGCACCACTGACAATAGCTGCCGTGCTTTACCAGCGTGTCACGGAATGCCCGAAATTTGGGACACGTATTTTGGGGTTGCCAGATGGCGCGGGCGTACTGGGACGAATGCCTCCGACATTGGACCGGCGCTCCAGCCATTCCGCCAGTTTTGCCGAGTTGCTTCGGCAACTGTGCGAATTGTCAGACCCCGGTGATCCCAGCGCTACAGCGGTCTAGGCTACTCGAGCGGGTTCAAAATGATGCCACGGAGGCGAGAAGGTCTGGAGTCGGATTCGGTTCCTGATGAGCTCTATCTGCATCACGCATTTATGATGTGAGCGAAACGACGCCGTTTTTCGTGGCGCGCAGCCCACGACGTCTCAAAGTGTTGAACGAATCTGGACTACGGGCGTTTGTCAATTGTATGCCTTGGCTATGCGTGAACATAGAGGAGCGGCGACAGTGCCATAACGGGTTCGATTACATGCTTGCCTTGACTTATTTACCCTAGAGTTCAGCGGGGACCGCTACCTCTAGCAAAGTGCCACGAATCACCGCCGAGACCGGCGCTGTATTCCTGGCTTCCGAGATTTTAGGCTTCTAGCACATAGGTAATCGACAGTCGTGAATCTCTTTCTCTACATTTAATGCCAAGGAACTGGTGCACACCGTGGCAAATTGCATAATCTGTCGAATGCATTCGACTCTGTAAAGATAAATCGACGACCCGGGCAATTGTGTGGATAATGGAACCAGTAGGTATGAACATGTGTACTGGATCGTTGTATGCAGTATTTCCCCTACCACACCTAGCTTAGACTTGGTATGCTGCTGTTGAAAGCTTTTGTCCACTCTCTTGCCAAGACTTGGTTTGGTGCTGTTGAGTGCTTGTCCATCATGTTGCCGGTCAGAAAGCTGTATCGGCAACCACAATCTCTGCGTGGCGATATTGCTTGTTTGCGTGTAATGGAAGAACAGCTTGTCCTGCTATATCATACAGCCTCGTCTTCACAACCATAGCTCGGAAGGTTCGTGCACGACCACAGTACAAAGACGACATCTTCATGGCGTTGCAGAGGCCTGTTGTTCGGCACTCTCTCGTGTCGAAGAGAATGAAGGTGGTGCACACTTCGTCAATCTGTAAAACGCTACATGGCACGGACTATCGTGCCGAGTGTAAAGCTGAAACATCCTTATAAAGAAAAGGCATACCGAAGAACGACGACCCGAAAATGGGTATGTGAAAAATACAGTCTCCCGTTTTCGGAATGCGTCTCTCGAAAATGCTCATCGCTTTTGCTCTCACACTCTGTCTTTTTTCTTGCATAGCATGCTTTCAACGACTGGTTCTCACTTCCAAGGCTTTCGTTTATTTTTCGAGTCGATCAAGCCGCGTAATGTGCATACACGCAAGACCATCGTCGCAGGTCAAAGCGCTCGATCGATGCTGGGCACAGTTGCAAACGCCAACTCGGTTGCTGCAAGCAAACCTCGAATATTTACAGTACGTGCAAACCCACACAAACGCGTATGATAGGTAGCAACAACCACAAACCTTCTGCAGCTATTTCGAACTCCTCCGACGAAGTACTGTTGCTTTCTTTATTCTTCACCGCAGCGCGAGTTGCACGAACCTGGGGGAACCAGCAGACTGCAGATCGAGCACAAACGCACTCATGGCTACGACACTTGCTGCATCCAAGTGCTAGTTCCAGATCCGGCGTCGTTCCCCTATCCAAACGCGTGGGCAATATTGTGCAAGTAGTTGTCAAAACGCTTGAACCGGCTGTCGAGGCAGAAATGAATCGTTTGCTCGAACGACTCGCGGGCGCGATCATCCGATACTTCGGGCGCCAGCGTCGTCACGATGTGATTAATGTCATCCCGTCCTGTCAACTCAGGCATGTCCGCCGGGACCATCAGCAGCAACAGCGACACCAAAAGGTGCATTTGTCTCCGTAGCACACAGTACGCCGTGCACGCTGTGTCAACAAACTTTGCAAAGTCCTTTCCTTCCACGCCACCTAGCACGTACGCCATTTCGTTCGTAAATACGAAAGGGGTTCGCTCACGACGGATTCCCAGCTAGCTCACACGACACAACCACATCGGTGAGTAAAGCGCACACAAAACACACCGCAATAGTCACACCGCATTCTTACCTTGTAGTACTTGAGGTGACCAAGAAAGTGGCCAAAGTCGATGTGGAAGTACCGACCTGATGACGAAATCTATACACCGGTAAAATAAAACAGGCGTCAGGCATAGCTGTAGCGCACCAGAACGAAAGCTGCTCCACGAACCATAATGTTGTCGTTATGCCGATCACCAATGCCAAGTACGCAAGTTGCTACACAGTAGCCTGCGCAAGAGCGACTGAAAAGGTCAACAGCAGCCTTGCGACTTCTCGGATCAGGATTGTTTGCGCGAATCCAGTCGGAGAAACTGGGATCCTTGAACGTCCCCATCATGCCGTCACGCCTATGCACCTCAGCAGTCGTGACCGAGTTTGGCACCATCTGAAGAATGCCGGTCATTGGGGATGTCGCTACACATCGATACGGCTCCATTGCCAAATCCAGACCCTCGTCTCGCCACATCTCGTCCATCAGACGAATCAACTGTAGCGTCAAGCAATCTTGACGGACATCATCACCTGCCTTGAACATTACTGTAACAGGGTCACCTCCTTCTTCCGCGTTCTCAAACACCAGCCACAACGGCTTTTTCGCCGAATCCATGACACGGCATTTGCTCACGATAATCTTGCCAACTTCAATACGAGGGTCAAGCGGTAATTGGAAGGAGCCTGGCAGAAGCTCGTTCAGCGCCTCCAAGCCTTGCTGCATCGCACGTTTCATTTCAGCCGCGCCATCTTTCCGTTTCGCCTTCACGCTCTGGCAAATGCGCTCGAGCATTCCACCCTCCGAGAACAGCTTATCTTGCAGCTTCAAGATGGCGCGCATCTTCGAGCTACAGACGTCCAAGTACGCATTCAAGATCGTACCATATCGTTCACGGTACTGGTCGTTGTGCGCTTCCACCTTCATGCTCCAAAAGAGATCAAACCCGATCTGGTTCGGATTCTTTATGGCACGTTCGATCAGCAGCATCGACAAAGGCGAAACGTGATGGTTCTCAAACTTAATGGCTTGCACGAGCTGAGGCAAGAAGTAGCTAAACGTCGTATCAGCCATTTGGCCGAGCTTTTTGACAGCAAACGAGCGAACGCCTTCGTTTGCAAACTCGCCATTCAAGAGCTCAATATAGGCTGCTTGGTGGTCAGGCACGGACCAGCGCGGAAGTAACCTCAACGCCTCTTCGCGCTCATCGCGGTCATCCCAATGGACACAAGAAAGGATGCGCGGCAGAGCAGCTGGTATATCGATAAATTCTTCGCGGTGCATCCATAGCTGTTCTTTTTGGTACGGACTGAACCGGTACAGCGGATCTAGCAAAATGAGCTTGCGCAGCTCATTGTACTGGGCAGAATCATGCTGTGACGCGCTGTGGCCACTACATCGGGAGGTCGAGTCGCGCCGGTCCTGGGCAATACTCTCTAGTATGTTTTTGCCGTCGAGGACGTCGCTGTTTTCTTCCTCACGGGGGCTCTCAGCGACAGGATCTGGTACACCCGAATCGTCAAAGCCACAGTGGCCGCTTGGAAGATCGTTGATGGCCGACTCACCCTTGGAAACGGTCGAAATTGCAAGCATCCATTCCTCGCGGTCTTGTTTTGTTTCAGCAGAAATGATATAGTCACGAGACGAACCCGTGGGTCGCACCTTGAAGCACCATGTCTGGCGGAGTTTCCGGGTTCCCTTATTCACAGGGGCTGTCGTGAATTTCTGATTCATGTCATCCGCGGTCATCACTGAGCAATTACGCAGCGTGATCAATTTACGAGGGGCAGTCTCGTCATCGGCGTAGCTGAGAGTACAAGTGCTTTGGTCCACGACAAACCAGCGACGACGCCAACGAGTCAAAGACGAAAAATTGCCCACTTTCTGGAGCCACCCCTCTTTCCGCAGCATCACAGATCGGCTACTCGTGACAAAACTGCGGCGGTGAGAACGGTCACTCATCGATGATCGCTCATCGTCGTTCCAGTTATATTTGATCGGCGTATCGAACTTAGAAAACTCGACCTGAATCAGGGGCTCGTTCGGCAATGCAACGTGAGGCACAGGTCCCTGGATGCATGAATGCAGGTTGTTGTACATGTGCACATAGTGCTGCCCCTGTGTGAGCGTATCATCCACTTCAAATACGTTCACGCCGGTCACGAGCATCTTTTCTTCGATGACGTCCATGCTCGACGTTGAGCTCCCTACAATTTTTTTCACACCTGACACCGTGAGCTGGACTCGTGTCGTGCGCGTGATGTTGCAAATGTCAATGTTGAACTTGTGCCACACAGCATCTTCCCACTCGGCATACAACAAGTTGTTGCGCTGGGCTTTCAGTCGTACGTCAGTCGTATCAATTACAGCGTTATCCAGCAGTTGGCCACCGTCGTACAGTTCAATGCGAACGATCACGCCTGAGCTCATCAAAGGGACTTTGGTCACGATGGCTTCTTCACTTGACCGCTTTCTCACGCATGTCGTACGAGGAATGTTCAGTACACGACGAATACGGACGGCAAACGGTTGTTGAATGATACTACTGGGTAGCGACGGGTTACGGTCGACTGAAGGACGTTCCCACTCATCGCCAAGCGTCGTCATCTGCAACGACGTTGCCCGCTCACCATCGAACATGTCGGAAAACTGGCAGACAATATTGTCCATCAGCCCAGAACTATTCGCAAAATCCCTGCCAATGCTCAAGTTCATCATAGCAGTCTCTTGGATAACCGACTCGTGAATCACGGTCAATCGAATTGTCTTTTTCGTCAGCAGACACTCACGAACGTGCACATATTCATTCAGCACACGGAACCTATCGATCATGTAGTCACGGTAGCCTGTAATCTTCAGCCGGTACTCTGCTGGATTGTACGGTCTCAACGGTGCTGCATCCAACGCCTGCTCGTAACAATTGAATATGTGCTCCACAATCTGTCCCACTGTATCCCCAGTCGTGACAACCATCCGGACATCGGTAATCGCCTTCGCGCTCACTTCTTGCAGCTGGAACATGCGCTTGTACGTGACATGAACCGCACTGAACTTCACGACGTCGCACAGTCCTTTCAGCCACCGCTGGTACTCGGGTTCCGAGTCCGCACAAATTGCCCACGTACGTGCTGTCGTGACCAGAAGAATGCCGTACGGCTCTGCCTTGGAGTCCATGGGCTGCAACGATGACACTCGATCCAAGTCAATCCGCCCTCTTTCCAGCGTCTTTCTCTCGTCACGACTCAGTGGAATGCCATTCTTCTCCGGCTTTTTCTTGTAATATGCCAGCACACTGCCATTTAGCGCCATGTACCGCTTTTTAAACGCCTTGTTTTTCTCTCCTCGCTTGCGCAAGTACCCACCCATGTGGTTGCTGATTGGCTGTGTTAACGAGATAGGTTTATCCGAGATCACAAGGTTCGCAGGAATTCGAGCCACTGTCTTTAGCGGCGTAATCAGTGCAAACTGGTTCTTCTGGTTCGAGTCGTGGGCTATCCAGTCGCCTTCTTCCACTTTAAACTCGGGCGTGTTCGCACGCACTTCCAACTCTGCTGGCGAAATGTCTTCATGGGCAATTTTGAGCACTTTGCCCACCGCCGAGCGAAAATATAGCGACTCTTTCGAGTGGAACAAGTCCGGCACAGGCTGCCAGCGCTTGTCGTCACCCATCATGCTGCGTCCAACTGCTGCGTACGGATTCAGCGCCTCAAATGACGGCACGAGCGAATCGTCCACATTGCGAGAGCTCCCGCCGCTCTGGTAATTTCCATACGCTGTCGAGACAAACGACGACGACGACGACACTGAGCTCGACCGCACGGAGCTGTTTCGCCCACTGGACTGGAGAACCGACTGCATGGACTGCCGGGGAGTGAGGCTAAACATCTACAGACGCCATCCATGAGTTCAACAAGAGAGACACACGCACACACACCAGCGCAAGACGGAAAAGAAGTCAGCCACAAGCACGTCCACACCCCATTGTGACACGACATGCAGCACAACGTCTCCACGTACAGTCGTCAAGACCTCAGGAGTTTGCGGTTGTCCAGTACAACACACTGCGTCTGTTCCTTTTCGTGTATCTTCTGCGGCGCCTGACAATGCACACAAACAGAGACAGACAGACAGACAGATAGATAGCGCGGGTCGCCTCGTTAGTTGCTGCCACCCAAGAGATACGCAGAGAGAGAGAGCGCGCGGTGGACAGCCGAGAGACGTCTCTCTGCTCGCTACTTACTACGCACGTGCTCTGTCCTTCAGTGACGACGGCGACGGCGCTGACGACTTGGACCCGACCTCGCTCTCTTCCGCTCGAGGTGGCAAAACGTCCTTCTCCGGTGGGGCCGTCGGTCGATGATTTTAGCGAATCAGTGGCGGTTGTGCCCTAGTCCACCTACCCCTGGACGAAGAAGGAAGCAGGCCATATCATAGGTCGGTGGGCCACGAGCGGTTTTCAACAAAACCTCTCGAGCGTTTATAGCCTGAAGTTAGCAGCAAAGCATAGCGCATAAAACGTCGTGCGGGCCAGCGACGTCGCGTGCCGCTTCGGACAACTCAACAGCGTCGATCGATCGTACGTCCAGTCGTCGTGCACACCAATTGGGAGTGGATCGATCGATATGCGCTTTTTGGGGGATGAAAAAGTGCTGCTTCAACTTGCAAGTGCGAACGAACAGCACTGTTGGCAATGCTCGACGATACCGGCGCTACGAGCTGGCAAAAAGTGATGGTAAACAGGCACACACACGTGTCAATGCGTTCGTGCGTGTTGCAAGACGTATCTGTTGCGTCTGCTACTTTGTCGGCGACAAGAAAACGCTCGACGGCTTCTTGATTTCATAACAATGATCGACGTGACATACGGTGCAGAGCTAGCGACAGTGTTGAGCACGCACTTGTTGCTGTAGCATTGCTCTGGCTGTGTAGATTGGACGATGCTCTGATGCTGTTGATGCTGTCGCTGGTTGCGTGTGAGGCACGAAAGTGTCCGATCGTATTGCTACAGACAGCAGCGTCGGAGATACTAAAGCGTGAGCTGCTTTGTTGACGCGACTGTTGTTGCGTAGTAGGACAGATACAAACGACTACGGCAATGGATTTTCGCTTACGTTGGTTAGTGGACGTCTAGAAACCGACAATGAAGAGTATCCGGCATGCGTTTCATCTTTCGGATCGATCCTCGTTCTATCTGGGCGAAGGAAGACAGATAGACGTTTTGTACGTGTTTGTGGCGCTTATTGCAATACGTGTACGCTTGTGATCAAGTCGCGGTAGATGATTGACGATCTGGACGTCTAACTGTATCAATGGCGCAAAAGTGACTAGCAACGGTTGCGCTGGCGGATATATGCGTCAAAACCAGCGACAACCTCACCTTCGTGGCAGGCAGTCGACTTACAAGCATGAGCTAGAAGAACAAAACCGACGGAAAGCCATGCGTCCTCATCGTCGAAGGCGAGCGAACTTGATGTGGTTCTGTCGGGCAATCGATACCTGCGTTGTGTGATCGATGAGCCTATTCGTAAGTCACCCACGAGATCTGCGATATGGAAATCCAATGTGCATCGATGTGAGCAAAAGAGGTTTGCTACTACTGGACGCTTTGTTGTGCAACGCGTCCGGTACGAATTAGCATACGTAAAGAAGAAGAAGAAGAAGTGCACGATTGCGAAAAGCTCTGTAGGGTATCACCATGCACTGGATGCGGTGCCGCTTTAGTCTTACATCACGCAGACCGCAGACTGAGATTTCAGGATGCTGCCGTGATGAAGTTTATCAACTGCTGAGCAAAAGCATCGACGTGTGCGCGTTAATGACGAAGACTTGACATGTACCGTATCGGTCGACTGGCCGTGGCGCAGCGATGGCGTCATGGCACCGCATGATTGCAACGGTCAGCTTGTTAGTGCCGCTCGATTTCACCATGTTCGTGGTTTCTGTGCATTGCACGCAGAATAGAGAGACCCAGTGAAGCAGCATTGATCAACGTGCTGAACTGGCCAGCGCAACGTTTTGTCGTCCACAACACGCTCCATGAAAGAGATCAGCTGCTTGGAACACTATCACGGAAACGATTGAGTGCGTCCCGACGGAAGACTGAGTCGATCAACATTGATTGGCGCACATTCGGTGCTGACACTTTCAAAGTCTCGCAAATGACATGTGAGAAGGACGCGTACCATTTCCGTTTGTCGGTCAACATCAGGAGAGAAGACACTGGTGATGGCTCGTTGGGTGTCACTGAATTGCGCGTACTGCGCTGCGTTGTTCGACAGCAACTCTGACACGTATGTGATCAGAAGTGCAAACATGTGAGGCACATTCACAAGCTCTCGCCTTCGTGTGAGTACTTGTTGGGCGGTCCTCGGCAGTGCCATTCTTCATACTGTTTGCTGAAGCGTTTCATAGGAGAAAAGAAGCGACCAGAAATGTCTCGACTGGTACATCAGTCAGCCGAATCTTCCTCCGCACTCGAAAGTAGCGATGTACAATTTGGCTGGAGGATGTTGTCATGTGTGTGAACAAACGGCTAACATGCGCGTGTACGCGTTGAGCGGAGAATGATGTACACTGGCAGCCGATAGATTCCTGTTGCCTGCGATCTTTTAGTGGAAATGACTGGTCTCCATCAGCTTGATGCATGAAGCTCGACGCTTTGCGAGGCGACGACACGTTTGAGCAAGTTTGTTGTGCGCTATATTGTGTACGTATCACCGCACCAATAGTTTTCGGTGCATAGCACTACGTCCAGGTCGATCTTCACCACGGCGTCTACGTCATGGCGGAGATCGACCTGGATATGCAGTAATGGACCAGTACTGCTGTGGACAGAAGCCCCCACGTATCATCTGAGCAAAACGGATTTCGAGATCATGGGCTCTGCGAGCATAGTACAGCAGATAGCTTTGTGGCATAGAACTGCAAGCGGGTACTTTTCTTGGTAAGCACTCGATACCAGGTAACACTGCCAAACTATCAAGATGGCCAAGTATATCACGGCTACGACAGTCCTCCAAGCATCCAGCGACTGGAACCGACAACGTGCTCGCCGATAAAGACGTGGGCTTGATATGATCGTAACGAGAACCAACTATTGCATGTATAAAACTTTAAGCCAAGACATTAGACATTGCTGAGTGTAAGTCATTGAAATGGGCTTATACGTCGGGATGGATGCCTTCGCGGTCTGCTTTTGCAGGGTCAGTTGTGGGAAGGCCTATTCCGTGATGTTGTCATAGCCAAGGTGGATATGATGTTGGCGACAACAATATGAGGCAAAATTACCCTAGTGGGTTATGCTGGAGGAATATTGCTACCAAAGGGAATATTTGGTCAGAGTTGACCTCTCGCTGCCCATCAACTGGTACAGGCCACCACGATATCAGCCAACTCAGCTACCACCAGACCAACGACAGACGCGAGCAAAGTGTGGTGAGAACGTTGCCGCCCATGTATTTGCAACTTTTATGATGACAATGCGCTCACAACACATTGTAAAAGAGAACTTATATCGCCCTTCTTACACGCGAAGTTGGTTTGCGATTTTTTCATGCGACAGCGTATGTGAGGCCTCGATCCATCTGGCTATACCCCCACACTTTTCTTAGTGTTCATCGATCACACTGTCATCATTGAAAGCAAAACGTATTCCATTACATCAGCTGTTTCCCGCGACCATTGTCTCCAGAAGCCTGCCGGAGCTCAGCAGCTTCCGTTCATCCCATTTCTATGATCGCAGACAAAAGCGTGGACATCAGAACCGCTTTCACAGGTGATCCGGTCAGTATACGTCTGAGTACAATGATTGTGGTGCTCTCGGCTGTGACCTACTGTCTCGTCACTCGACGAGATGTTCACAGTCCATTAGCTGTGGGTCGCCAACTCACCACCCGACTCTGCTCTATCTTTCGTAGAAAGCAAGTCGTGGCCACATTGTGCCGACGAGTCGCATGGCGCTTCTAGTCGAAATATTTACAAGCCATACTTCCATAGAATTAATGGCAGGCATTTCCATCTTATACAGGGTCTTACCGCGAACGTGCTCGTCGTAAGTCTCAGGCGTGGATGATCCTACTCTGTGAGCGTACTACCTCTCTTCGTATCGCATAGGATTCACCGATACGGTTCCCCATCATTCTATTACTCTCAAGAACTATCAACGAGATGACACGGTTCAAAACGACGAGACTTACCAACCCACAAGTTGTCAGGCTTTGCTCAGCGAGGTTTCACTCGCCCACTCGTTCCTTGTCGGATTTGCCCCACATTTCTTTTTTCGCCAAACTGGTTCCTAAAAGAGGTTCGCTCACCAGATTCCACACCTTGCGAACGAGTACAGTATCGCCGAGGCAGACGTTGCAGTGCAACAACTCACACCTATACTGACGACAGAGATAGAAAGCGGTTCTAGGGATGAACCACATTTTCGCCATTAACACGTCCGACGAGAGAACAGTGACAGCTGTCACGCGGACGCATGGAAGTTAGGAAGGGTAAAGGATTAGTCATAGTCACGGACTGATACACACTTCGCAAGTACATCGAAGCTGTCACGAAACTTAGCGTGAGACGCCCAGTCCAATAGATAGGATAAGCTACCTGCACTGATGGGAGTGTCGATTGAATGCCGCGAAAGCTCAGGTACACGGTAACGCGCAGAGGAAGCATAACTTAGCGATCCAAACAAGCTCAATCGAGCGGAAAACGAGAGCGTATTTACTGTAGAGAAGTACCATCAATTCTGCAAACGTCGTTCGACGATAACGAGACTACTACAACCATGTATGATGACAACCTGCTCACTCATTCATTAGTGTCGTTGTTGGCTGATACCATGGCCGATATGCGCCAATACGCAGCGTAGTCAACAACTGCCGAGCATGGCCGTTAAAGCAATATTCGTTCGCGGTGACTCGCTTCGGGTAATATCGAAAATAGTATCTCCTCAGGATCTTCTGGTAATATCTGCCTTGACGGTCAACTAAATATCTGGATCCTAGAAACGGGGTCACCCGTCACCGATATCGCAGGGTCCCACTTCGCAGTCCCATTTCGCCGAGTCCCGTAACGCTCCACTTCGTCTGGCCAAGTCGTTCTTAACAAGGTTGAACTTCTCCTAATCAATTCAAATACAAGGAAAACGGCCACATTCATTGCGAGTCTCTCCCTACAATACTTCTTCCTACTGGCTGCATGCATGGCACGTACATTTGCTTTCGTCCATCAGACGCTCTACCGATACGTACGACTATATCGATCCGTCCAGACTACCACCACGACCTCACCTCTGTTGCTATGCATCATTTCTGAAAAATCCTACTGCACTCAAGTCACTGAGTCTGGAATCGCATGATATACTACGACTCGGCGCCCTTATGGGGAGTGCTCATGCGTTGGCACGGGTCCGCATTGAACGGCCAAGCTCCGCTGCGTGCTTTGTTCATGACAACGATCGCGCTGACTGTTGCGGTCGTGAATCGCTACTACCCGTTTGTGGTTTCCACGCGCACATCCACGGCGTTCACGGATTCCCTGACAGTGTTCAATACGTTCCTTGGACTCATCATTTCCTTCCGCATGAACTCTGCATTCAACCAGTGGCGCGCCGGCGTTGTGGCCGTAGGGGCTCTTGCCGAAGCTGCTCGTGATATCGTGAGCTCTGGCTGTGCATACGTTAGCACGACGATCAAGGAGGAACTTACTGCTGCAGCCGAAGCAGCGGAGAGTGGCGCGGACACGTCAAAGATGGCGAGTTCATCCCATAACCCTCGGTCTCCTATCCATTCGAACGTACCGACGACTATCCCTCAAGACATTCTTGAAAAGTGTACATTCTTCACCGAGCTGCGCAGACTCGTGTTCCTGTACATTGCGATTGTGTTTCACGATTGTCGGGGGTTGAATGAGATCGAGAAGCTCAAGGAATCAGGTGTGCTGACCAACACCGAGTACGATGAGCTCTGTGCATGTGGCTCAGAACACACGCGACAAGTCGAGGACAAGGAGTCGTACGGGGCAGTTGTTGGTCGTACACCGCACAAACTGCGCGCCGCCATTACCGAGCTCTGGCTCAAGAGACTCGTGCAAGTTGCTACGAATCGAGGCCATTTGACGCTACAAAACTCAAACAACTTGCAGATCAAGTTAGCGCGACTGCCGAATCTGTACACGACAGTGTTCAATATCGCCAACGTGCCCATCCCGTTCAACTACATGCAGTACCTTCAGTTTCTGCTCAGCGCGTACATGCTGCTCTACACCTTTGTGATCGTGCCAAGGTCTGGGTTGTACACTCCGCTGTGGGTCTTCTTGTGGGGCACGTTTCTCTTCATGGCAGACGAAGTTGCCATGGAGATTGAATGTCCGTTCGGACTGGACGCAAATGATATCGACTTGGAATCCCGGTTGCTCCAGATCGAAGAAGAGCTCACAGTGCTTCTTCGGAGTCAATACTACTTCCTTTCGGGAGGCTCCAGTCTAACGCGTCTGCCAGGGATCACAATTCATGACGAGCGACAATCGTCGGGCACGCTGAAGTCCGCGTCGCTTCCAAGTGGCTTTTCGTTCCACCAGGGCCGAATTTCTCCATCGCATCGAGCGATGATGCAACAGGATTCGCTGCCCGAGATCGACGAGTTCTCGAACCTGATCAAGTTTCCGAGTGGGCTCGGCAGTGACAAAAGGAGCGACTACGGGTCGGTACCCTAGCAAAGAGCTGGTACTAGCGAAGTGCTGCAAGTGCGTTGCTCATGCACATTTCCACGTTTGCAAGTCAAGTCTGCTGCATCCGTTCGGTAGGTGACACAAAGGGTCTTTAGTGCTCTGAGACGCGACAAAGTCTTGGTCTTGCAACATCCCACCGCGATTGCAATAGACATTTGACACCCTGCTATTCCATTTCCGTGCTAGAGGACCAGCGAATACATATCGATTGGCGATCGACAGCAAATGACTTTGCACACGTCTGTCTACTACTGCCACACTACCATTCAGTGGGATTGGTAGCGTCCTCCTGAGTGCTCTAGCGACATCGTTGACGAGGTCCGACTTGGTCACCTACTACCAGCAGCTGGCTACGGTTCATTCGCCAAGTACGAAAAGTCGTGGCATCGCATACTGAAGACGCTTCTTTACAAACAGCAAACAACGTCGTCAATACGCAGCTCTGTCGTCTACGTAACGTTTGCGAAATGGATCGTACCACGTCCAATTGTTGCTCGCGACGAGCACTTGTATGCCAATAGAGCTGGTCAATGGTTACCTATTGCCTTCTGCACTTGGCTCTATCGGACAAAAGTCGTGCGTTAAATGACGCAGAGGGACGCCTTGCGACCGATAGTGCGCTTTATACGTCGTAACATACAGCAAGCACCGGGTCAGATCGATCGCGTCACGGCCGTCGTCCAAGCCGTTCATTGGTGGAAACAAAATAGAGCACCCCCACGCAGCTTTTTCTGTAGCCATCTCGCGTCCACAAGAGCTCGTGACCACGTGAGACAGTCGGCACGAGGAGGTCTGTATCGCAGCGCAACATGGTGCAGGCGGCCAGCGACGGCAGTGCAACGGACGTGCAGCGCGTGAACCAGCAGCTCGAGGATCGCCACTACGAGTTCCGCTCCAATTGCAACGACGGCGAAGGGGACGCGAGTGCGTGTCACAGTTGGGGCGAGTGGCTGGCGGTCGTGGACAAGAACTATACGGCCGCAGGTGACGACGAGACGAGCACAATGTGCTGAAATCGGTGGCGCACAAACGGTTGCCAGTGTCGTGTCAATTGACGGTTTGTGTATGTCGTGTGTAGCCAAAATGTACGAGCTCAACTGTTCGAAGAGTGGGTTCGCGGCTTCGTGTTTTAATCTTGGGAGGCTGAAGCGTACGTATTGTTTTTCGACCGCCTGCTGTTGCTGCGGCTGTGATAGCAACAGGCTCGTCGTGTCTGACTGGGGGACATCTGTGTGCTCTATGGATCGATCTGTATCGACCGTTTGTTTTTCTGTTGTTGCTGGTGGTGCTATGCAGTTTCTGGCAAAGGCACAGCGCAGAACGATGTCGAAGCGTTCGAGCTGTTTGGTGAGTCTCACGGTGCTGAATGAACTGGCAATGCGTACAGCTTGCTCTCTCTTTGTTGCAGCAACTGACGAAAAAGTGGCTGCACACTGGTAGAGAAATCTTGTGCTCTAAACCACGCTGCTGGTTGCCATCATGTGGGCTATATGCGTACGCAAGGAGTTGGCTGCGAAAAGGTTGTTGCATGTGGTCAATAATGTTGCTGTTGCAAGCGTGATGCTGACATTCGATGTGGTGCTGATGTCTGCTATCCCTGCGCATAGGATTTCGCCAAGGGTCTCGCTGCGTTCAAGAAAGCGTGCAAGCGTGACGATGCGAATAGCTGCAACCGCGTGGCGAGCATTTACCTGTCCCCGGGTGGCGCCGGTTCGATTCAGCGCAACGTTCAGGAGGCCAAGAGTTATCTCGAAAAAGCTTGTGACGCCAACTTTGCCCCCGCATGCCACAACTTGGCCGTGATGTACAAGAAGGGCGATCATGGTATCACGAAGGACGAGGCCAAGTACGAGGAGTATTGCGCCAAGACAAAGAAACTCGTCGAGCAGGCAGGCGGCATGTCTTCGATCAAGTCGACTTAGGCTGCTTCCATCTGCTTGTGCTATGAGTAGCCGAGCATGTGTACATGCACATCTTTCCGCTGCAACTGTAGCTTGTTAGAGACTGCAGACTCGATTGACTAAACCAAATCGTCATTTGCGCGACTACGTCGACACTGCAATGTGCCATGGCTCCGGCATCGTTCATGCCAGCGCCGTCAAAAGCCATTGCACCGTGGGTTGTAGCAGTGTACTATACAAGTTATGTGCAGAATTTCTCCATCATTGATAACTCTTACTCTAGCTCGCTGCTTGGTGAGTCCTGTTGTACAACTCGTTGGTGTAGGTTGCTACAGCATCGCAGATTGATGTGGATGAGGATCGCGACCGACGATGGATGAACAGGTCACGTTGTAGTGATTGAGATGACAAAGTTTGCTAGAAGAGCATTTCCTGCGCCCTCATGTCCAAGAAAAGTGAAAGGAGCATTTGCATCGACAGTCGTCCTGACATTGTCCTATCTGATCGACGGCTGTCTTCAGTATTTATGTGGACGCATTGCGTACTTTTCCACGCAGCAGAGTTCTGGACACTTCCTTAGCTTGCCGTATCAGCTCATCCAGCAAGGATCACAAGCTTCCAGGGTGATCCTATTGGTTCAGTAAACCGGTGGGTTTTCGTAAAAGCCTCGTCACGCCTGCTGCATGTGGTAGCAACATGCTCATCATGCTGGCAATGTTAGCAGATATACGGGCAAATCTTCGATCCTTGGCAAGAATCGGTCAATAATGACTAACGTTGTCGAGCTCGTCGTACTAGAGTTGGTAAGTGTTCGCTGCATTCGATAGTTTGCCATCGCCATGAAAAAGGCACAGAAACCCACCACTGCTTTTCACGATGCAAGTTGGTCCGCCTTCGTACTACCAATCGTGACGAGAGCAACTAGTTGAATCTGTTCTTGACGCATAGCCTGCTGGGTAATCTACACATTGTCTACCGATAGCTTGGCGCTTTCTGCTGGCACGTCACACTCACAGGAACCTCCTCAGTCAAATTATTTGTCCAAGTTGCTAACCTAAGCACACATTCGGCAACGGCGTGAAGCATATTTTGGCTGTGAAGGTGCAGATCGTTGGAAGCGCGTTTGCCTTCGTTCCGCATGATCGGCAAAGTAGAGGTGACGCACCCAGCAACATGACTGGCTTCGATAATTGCTGACTCTTGTCAACTGACTCTGGTATATCGTGCTAGCTTTTCGTATCTGCATTAGACCGAAACCGTCTCCGATTCCATATGCACAACCAGATCTACTCGGTGCGAACGCTGTGTCAGCTTCTCAAGTTTTCAGACCTTCAACGGCAAGATCAAAGAACATGTCGCTACGACTCGCCAGCTGTTTGCTTATAACCCGTTTTTGCACTCGTGCCTTGTCAAGAATCGCAAAATACTTGTGCTATAACGGACATTACCGAGAGCTTCGATTCAGAGCTTTGGCCTTGTCGTCAAGCAGCAGGGTTACCACGCAGCGTATCCGCTAGTTCCTGCTACTTGCGTAGGGTTGGTGTGTGTAAGGCATAGATCAGTCCAATCCATGTCGAGAAGCTTGTAGATTCGCGTTTGCTGACTCAAGAGCTTACTGTAGCTTGTTGTCGGTAATCTGCAACAGCGCGTGGGGCATCACGCTTGCAAGGAGACGTCGCAATGCAGCCTCATCCGCAGCACCCGCCTCCATCTTGTCTTCCACAGCACGAAACGGACTTTGTATCGCCAGCGCCACTACTTCTTCACCAATTACCTGTTCCCGCGGGCGAAAGTCGTCTATCTTTCACTATGCTTCGCATTAGAATGATTTCGATTGTAGCTGGGTAAGCGCATGATCTCTTGTTGCGTTGATTCGCAACGCAGCTCGTCAAACCCCTTGTTGCTCTTCCGCGCATGTCCCATACAAAAAAGCGCCACATCTCTTCATGTCGTTTCGGTACCCGCTAACTTACCCACAAGTGTGCAACAACGTGGCAATTTTCAGCAACAAGTCACGACGTGCAGCTGGTCTACGTGTTTGTCCCTGCTGCTCGTCCTGTCCTTGTGCATGTTAGTGGTGCGATAGATACACACAGAGAAGTACGAGACGGATGCAACGCTTCTCTCTCATCGATTTTCCGCTTCAGCGTATACAGATCCATTGCTACTGACGTCGCCGCCTCTGGTTCACAAGCAGCGCAGAGATTCCATGGACAGCTGCAACAATATTCGCTCCAGTCGTCAAATGGCTGCGACACAAAACAGGTCACTCTCTCTCTCTCTCTCTCTCTCTCTCTCTCTCTCTCTCTCTGTACAGCATGTAAAGCACCCGACCAGAAACTTCATATCCAGACCACACAACGCCATTGCTCTCGCTTCGTCTCGACAATAGCACCCTCAACCACGTCGTCGACAGCGCTTCAGCGTCGTCAATGGCGCTCCCCGTCGCACGACACTGCGCGCGGCACTTGAAGCGCGATGGTTCCGGCGTCGTGATTGGCTGATATCGAGCACTCTCCATTTCATCCAATGCGTGACTCGCTTTTCGCTTTGTGCTTTTTGACGAATCCGCGACGACGACGCCAGTGACTGGCCACCACACCACCAGTGCGTACGTACCCCACGACCGCTCCGCGCGGTGTCATGGCAGCGCTCGCGGCGTCTTCGCTCAACGGCGTCAAGATCTACAACCTGTCGTCGGGCAAGACATTGCCCCAATGGCTCGCCGAGAAAAGCGGCAGTCGCAAAGCATTGGCCAAGGACGAGGACTACCGTCGCCGTGTGGAATTGCTGCAGGACTTTCACTTTCCTGCTAGTTCACAGCGTGTGCGCATGGCGGCCGATGGCCACTTTGTCGTAGCCACTGGCGTGTACCCGCCACTGGTCAAAGTCTTTGACGTGCGCGACCTGAGTCTGAAGTTTGAGCGGGGACTCGATGCCGAAGTGGTGCAGTTTGAGGTGCTGTCGTCTGACTTTGGCAAGCTCGCGTTCCTCCAAGCCGACCGGTCCGTTGCGTTCCACGCACCCTATGGCACACACTACAGTCTGCGGATTCCCAAGTTTGGTCGCGATATGACGTACCATCGCGAGAATTGCGAGCTGTACGTAGCTGCGTCTGGTTCTCAAGTGTACCGGATCAATTTGGACCAAGGCAGGTTTGTCGCTCCACTAGAGCTCCAGTCGCAATCGTCAGCAGCGAACGTTGTGCAACTGAACCCCATCCATCAGCTGCTTGGTGTCGGCTGTGAAGATGGTGTGGTGGAGATGTTTGACTCGAGGAGCCAGCAACGTGTGGGTAGTCTGGATGTAGCAGCGCAGAGTGCACGGTCTAACGCCGACAAGCAGCTGGAGATCACAGCTTTGAGATTTGACGACGATGGATTGACGTTTGGCGTTGGTACGTCCGACGGACAGTGTCTGCTATACGACTTGCGCTCGACGCGACCATTGCTAGAAAAAAGTCATCAGTACGGCCTGCCGATTGTGGACCTGCAGTTTCATGACTACGCCCGGAAGGTGATTTCATCCGACGCTAAGGTGATCAAGATCTGGGACCGTCAAGACGGCGCTGTGTTTACAAACGTGGAAACGCCTGCTGCAGTGAGAGATGTATGTATTGTGGAAGGAGCGCAAGGAAAGTCCGGAGTGCTGCTCGTGGCTGGCGAGCAGGAGCGTGTGATGAGCTACTACATTCCAGAGCTAGGCATCGCTCCGAAGTGGTGCTCGTTCTTGGACTCGCTTACTGAGGAGCTTGAAGAAGAGGCACAGGCCACGGTGTACGACGACTACCGTTTTGTTACGCGCGCAGAGATTGCTTCCTTGGGACTAGGTCACCTGGTCGGCACGCCACTGCTGAAGGCGTATATGCATGGTTTCTTCATGGATGCTCGTTTGCACAAAAAAGTGAAGGCCGTAGCCGATCCGTTTGCGTACGATGAGTGGCGCAAGAAGAAACTGGTCGAGAAAGTCGAGGCAAAGCACAGCAATCGCATCACTATCCAGCGCCGGCTGCCCAAAGTCAATCGTGCCACCGCAGAGCGCATTTTGCAAACCGGAGCTAAACGCAAAAATAGTGCCAAGGCGACCGATGGCGAAGATGCGAATGCTGATAAGGCACTGTCAAATCCATTGGGTGACGACCGATTCGCGCGCATGTTTACGTCGACCGACTATGAGGTGGATGAGGAGAGCGAGACGTACCGCATGCTCCATCCCAACGCTGCTAATTCGAAGCAGCAGCGCAAGCAACAGGAGGATATGGACAGCGATGCGGTCACAGACGACGACGAGGGCGAAGATGACGAGGTGGGCGGTCGTTTCGCCCGCGTCGATGGCGTCGACGAAGTGGAAGTTGAAGGTCGACCAAGTGATGAATCTTCAGACGACGAGGAGGAGCAAGAAGTCAGTTCTGGTCGTACGCCACAAGCTGTTGCCCTGAAGGTCAAACGAAAGCGAGCACCCAAGTTTTACGAGATTGCTGAAGGCGAGAAAATGGAAAATCTCATGACGTTTGGTTCATCAAAGGATCGAGCTGCACAGCGTGAGAAGAGGCAGCTGGCCAAGCTGCCACTTGCAGAACGGCTGCGTATGCAACGTGTGACAGAAAAGGAGCGCAGTGCATTCAAGAAGGAGACTGCAAGTGGTAGCTACATGCGCGAGATGTCGTTTGTGCCGCAGGCCGATTTACGGAAACAAGAAAAACGTGCTCGTGAGCGTGACAGTGGCGGAATTGTGGATGATGGTGATTCGGCATTCGGCAATGGCAAGCGACGGAAGAAACGCGGGGTCGGGGACCTAAAGCTGTCGAACCCTGCAGGACGTCGTCGTCGATAGAGAGGTCGGAGACAATCGACGAGACTCGATAGAATTGGGTACTGCCATGTAATGATGATAGACGACTACGTAATGTCCTGACTTGTGCATTTGTTCACTGGTTGTCATTCTCATTACATCAGCAGAACTGCATGCATGCGTTCCGGTTTGGCTCGAGACAAGTCGTTGCGACTGTTGTTGATGTGGTGACCGGCACCATTAACAGTCCATACCAATCGTCGATCTATTGACCGTGGTCAGCACATTTCCACAACTCTCCTGCTCATGTTGAAGTAAACACGCGAACCACACATAGACATGGGATAATGACAGTGAGGGCGATATACAAACGGGAAAACATATTTCTAGCGGAAGCAGCAAAGTGAAGGAGCACCAAGGCAAACTATGGGCTAAGCAAAAGCAGCGGCAAGAAGCGATACACGAACTTGGTGTGCAGAGTCGAGAATAACGAACGCTTGTGCCTTGTCTTCGTGACTACGCGATAGTATTTCTGGACATTGTAATCGTGGCAATTCGAATACCCGATAACGACTATACTAACACGCCCAAGGACGCTGCAATATCGACTGTCACCGACTAAAACGAGTTGTGTGCAAGAAGTGCGACTACAGTGTATGCATGAGAAGCTACGGACTTGCACTTGCATGACGCTGTTGACATGATAAACGCACGCGAGCTCATGATCGCTTGTATTATCGCATCGAGAAGATGAGAGACCGCCACCAAGCACAAAAGTCGACTTAACACCGGCAAATTCGGTCACGTGCCAGTGTAGTTTCTTGTGTCAATGGACGGGCTGATCGACAGCGACGTCGAGTCCACACCTAAGGTCTAAAACTGAATGAATATGTACCGATTATAGTGATTGCGTGAGATGCGAATCCGCTTCGAGATCGCACGAAGTGATCCCGCGCGTATACGTCATCTAATAAACGTCAAGTAACAATGCAGCAGCTGTCGAGCGGTATCAAAATCACACAGCAGCTCGTAGCGACTGCGAAAGCGCCAGGGTCTCAGATAGCCCGACCCCTGTACCAACAAATTCAGGCTCCGAAGTTTCATGTTTCGAACAATATTTCGGGAAACGAGGTCGTCCCAAGCTTTTGTAGCCCGAATGTCGCGCCATGGTGTAGTCCAGGAAGTCCAAAAAGGACACCTGCAGCGACCAGTCATTTGCCCAGCCAACCAGTGGTCGGTCTGCCACAGGCGGCAGCAAAAGGGAAGTTCCATCAATTAGGAAACAATGGGTAAGTCGAGTCGGTTGTTCGTTCGTTCGTAGGGTCTGCAGGCAGTGATCGTAGCCGAGCGCATGTGCCCTCACCAGTGACAGACAGACAGACAGACAGAAGAAATAGACGGACAGACAGCAGACACGCAGACACATACAGAGCATTTGACGGCGATGGACTCGGATCGTTCGCGTTGTCAGGAGCTCTTTGGCCTCAAACTCGGCATCGAGGTCGAAACTGTACCCATTATGGTGCAGGACAATGTCATTGTCTGTCTGTCTGTCTGTCTGTCTTGAGGCGCAACTGCTTTTGCATCGGTCGTTTTTGAGTGTAAGCACCTGAGCTGACCGGGTGTTGCTCATTGTGGTGTCTCTAGTCCAGATCAAGGCGCACGAGCTTCGTACCAAGAGCAAGACTGAGCTGCTCCGCCAGCTGGACGACTACCAGCAGGAGTTGGCTCAGCTGCGCGTGTCGAAAGCCATTGGCGGTGCTGCGTCCAAGCTGAGCAAGATCGGCGTGGTCCGCAAGTCGATCGCCCGCGTCCTGACGGTGTACAACCAGAACCAGAAGATCAAGCTTCGTGCGGCGCTGCGTGGCAAGAAGTACATCCCGCTGGACCTTCGCCGCAAGAAAACGCGCGCCATTCGCCGTCAGCTTACGAAGCACGAGAAATCGATCAAGACTCCCAAGCAGTTGAAGAAAGAGGCGTACTTTCCTAAGCGTCGCTACGCGCTGAAGGCGTAATCGGCCAGTTCCTGGGCGTGCGTTGGACTAAATACATTCTCCTAAACTTCCCGCCATGCAGGCATTGATTGACCAGGTGGTGTCGGTTTGGGTAGGTCTGGAGTTGTAGTTGCTGAGGGAGTTTACGATAGCTCTACACGTCAGCGCCGACGTCCCAGTCGATCGACTCGCTGTCTTCTTCCGAGTTGGAGTCGGACACAATGTCAAAGCTGCTACGATCGGTTTCCTGCACATCTTCTTCCTGACGTGTCTGACCTGCAACGTCGCATTGCGCATCCAGCTCCGTGTCGTCGAGGTCGTCTGCGTTGCTCTGCTGTGTCGATCGTAGAGTGCACTCTGGCTCTACTGTCGGCAAAGCGCCAAGCGTCATGTCTCTCAGTAGCTCGTCTTGGAAAGTAAAGTCGTCTGACGCTGCTGACGAGTTTTCGTCCGCGACAGTCTCAACACCACCTTCCTGCAATCGAGCACATGTAGGAAGGGTAGATGAGTGCATTCACTCGTAGCAAAAAGGGAACACCACGGACCTTGATCTGGAACGGCTGTACGACGTAGCCTGCAACGGACGACTTCGCAATAGTTATTGCACGATACAGAGAATGCCGCTCCATGACGAACTGCAATACAACAAGTGTGTTAGAGATGCAGAGTAGGTGAGACCAGAGTCATCTCTCTAGCCTGACCCTCGTGGTGACGCAGTGTGCCCAAGTGTCGCCAAGCTGTGGCTTTGTATACAATCCATCTTTGCAGCATCAACAAAGTGTTACATCTTGCACGAGCACTACGCCACGCCAAGTCGAGGAAAAGACCACACTTACCATCGCTTTCGACCGTAGTTGCCCGATTCGTGACTGCAACAAACACTTGGTACGTGTCGGCAAAAACTCTGAATGCAACAGCAGCACACTTAGCAACATGGACACGAGACAATATGTGATGACCGACTCACTTCAAGTCTCGGATCAGCCGCAGCATTTGATGTTGACGCTGTGCGTGACTCAAGCCATGAGCCTGAACAGAGCAAGCATCAAAACGCTGAATCGATGGCAAGAGTATCGACATCATGGGCGTAACAAATACCTTGGCATAAAGTGATGTTACACAGTCAACAATCAGCAGCTTGATCTGGAGCAAGTGCGTGACACTTTGCACTTCCTTGAACCTGCTCGTCGCAAGATACAATGCACTTGCGGCGTGAGTCTGTGCGATTCGACATCAGAGAACAATGGCGTCGTACTTGGCTTGAAATGCCGCGACAGAGTTGACTTTGACGACACGAATGCGTCGAACAACGCTTGCAGCCACTTCGTTAATGTCTGCTTCCTGACCTGCGTTCGTCTGTCGAATGCGCGCAATTGCAATCTGCAATAACCTGTCTTGTAGCAACAAGCACAGTACATCAGCGACTTGCCCATCGATTGCATGGATAAGCACAGGCAAACCGTTTAGCGCTAAAGTTGTGCTCCGTGTCGAAAAACATGACTGTGTTGTCCGGGTAATCGAGGGCGCACATCACCGCAAGTGTCATGGCTACTTGGCTTTTCCCAATGCCATCCGTGCCTGCAAACTGCCCACAACACGAACATCTCGTCAGCTGACAACGTCAGTTCTAGCCGTAAGAAATCGTACCTCGGACACAGCTCGACAGTGCAGACCTCCGTTTAGAGCCTGATCGATGCCTGGAAGTCCTGTGCGTAAGACCATTGGGTGGTTGACACTGTCCAAGAACAGGTCGAACGCCTGGCACGCAGAGCAAGTGAGCAAGAGCATAACGCCGTCTCCTGTCTAGAGCTCTTGACACTAATCACAGCGGTTTGTCGCTACCGATCGACCAGCTGGAGCCAGTCGAATCGAGAGTTTTGCCACGAGTTCCTAGAAGAAGAGCAATCAATCAATCAAAAAATGCACACACACAACACACACACACAAATGTCAGTCTTCAGTTGGAAAGGCCCGTACCCATTCAAGTCAAGTGGAACGCATTGACTACTACTGGACCTCTGCTTCACAAACGGACATGTCCATAGCATGAGCGACATCCCACAGCGGACGTTGTAGCAACTGGCGGTGGGTCGTGATGCCGCTTGCTCGAAATAGCGCATGCCGACGCTCGTCAATCTTTTCCCGAGCCAATAAGCGCTGCAACGCTGCCATGTTGTCGCGTTAGTGGCGTCTACTGTTCACTTCGAGCATTTGCTGACAAAGACGAGCTGTGGATCAGATACTGATCTTCTACCCGACATACACATTCACATACACACATAGAAAGAAAGTCTCAGAAAAAGTGGGTACAGTCGGTATTGGTAGAGCCAACCGACGGTTTTGATTGAGACATTGACGGTATTGACATCGACATCGGCGGTATTCCATGGGGAGGCTGATCCGCCCATTGGACAGAAGTGCGATTGTTTTTGGCAATATGAAAGCGTCCAATTGGTCCATGCTGTTTACCACTCGCACTCCTCAAAAACGACATACACAAAGCCTGCAGCACCTTTCTATTAAAGAAGGACACGGGATTGTCACACATGGGTTCGACAGCAACCGTACGACGAACGAGCACGTTCTCCGGTAAAAAGCACTTGACAGTAACAGGAAGTACATTCCGGGTGCTCTGACTACATCAGTGACATAACGTCGAGATCACCAGTGAATCGGATGTCAGAAGATTGTATCACACCAAGAAAGCATATCGGTCCATGTCCACTCCAAGATGTATCGAGTTGAGGGCTGTTGCTGGATTCGCCATCATGACGAAATGCTCCTAGAGAGTAGATGGCTTTCCAACGCGTCAATAATACAATGTGATTCACCATAGTAGTGTTTTGACCGAGACGATTGGATGAGTTTGCAGTACAAAAGTTGTTCGTTCCCGAGTTCCCGAGTTCATACCAAAGTCGACTGTTTATCGGGTGAACAGAGCAAAGAAGTGACGTTGCGCACGACTCAGCGCGTCAATGGAGAAGCTGCATATTTGTACACAAAGCGAAACAGGTTTCGGCTGGTGGGTCCAGGAATTGGTCCCGCGGCCCCAAAACACCCATTCGACTGCCACTACTTCATCATACAACGATCTTGTTCACGCTAGATGCGACAGACCACAAGTTGCTGTCAACAGACAGCACCAGCTCAACCACACACAAACCCCAAGAGATTGCCCCAATTATCCGAGCACCATAAGATCTTACGTTGCCCCGCCCCGATCGCTCACGCTTCGACAAGTCTGTTTGATGTCCATGGCGCAAACAGCCCCCACATTCGCGTAACATTGCCCCTCAACCTGCAACCTCCCAGTGTCACCACTTTTGACAGCCATTCCACCACACATGCTCGGCTCGCGTCTGCTGTCCGTGGCCACGCGCGCGCTTGCGCCTGCCACGCGCGTGCCCTCCCTCACTGGTGCGTGTCCGAAGTGCAGTGCTACACGTCAGCGTTGTCGCTTCTGCATGCGTTGTTTTCCACGCGCACGTCGCGCAGAGTGGGCTCAGACCAAACCATTAATGTGCTAACTCGTTGTTTGTATGGACAATCTCTCTCTCGCTCTCGATACGGTTCTTGTAGCTCGAGTCGCTGTCGCGGGTGTGCGCAGCGTCCCCCCAACGTGCAACTGGTTTGTCGCTGATACGATGGAGAGTCCTCTTGCGATGGAACTGTTGAACCGAAACGCTCGTCGCCCCAAGAAGGTGCTCTTACGAGATGCCGCTCGTGACGATTGACCACGTTCCCAGCGCGAGGTACTAAAGTTGCTGCTGCTGTTTTTTTGCTGCGCTGATAGGCAAACCACGGCAAGCGGCCGTGCTCTCACTTCCGTCGCCGTCAAAAGCGGCTTGGCGCTAAGAAAGCATAGAGAGACGACGAGGAGGAGATGTGAGAAGGAGATGTGAGGAGAAGAAGAAGGCAGACGAGAGCGCTCCGTCTTGTGGACGCAGCATTCTTTGAATCTAGACACATATTGACGTCGTTCATTGCCGTGACGAGGACGGAAAGCTGCACGGCCACGTTGACACACTCACATCTACATTGAGTATGGGTTGCCCTATCCTATGCTACATTGGTTGTGCCACCTGCTCAACACGAGACCACTTGGCCCGGTCATGCCTGCGGCATGGGCGAATCGCCTTGAGCTTGCTCTTGCTGCTCCTGCCGGCGTTCGCTCTGCAATTGCCGATACTGCTGCGTGACGGCGGCGCGCCGGCGATCGTCCATAAGCTGTTGCTGTAGCTGCAGCTTGCGGACGTGTTCCCGAAGATCGTGACAGCGCGGGACTTTACACTTGTACTGACGGCACTGTCGCGCGTGGAGCTGCAATAGTGCCCACACGCGCCGACAGATGGTGCAACCGCCGTACGCACGCTGCTTGCACTGCGCCCCGTGGCGCATCAGCTCCTTCATCTTCTCGCAGTTCGAAGAGCCGCAGTTGCCATCGACACACGAACTCGAGTGAACCAGTAACTGCATGTGCAAGCGGACGTTCTTCGCACGCTGTTCGCGAAGACGCCGCTTCTCCGGAGTTAGATCCGGTGCTCCTCCAGGGCCAATTGCACCGCCAGCCAGTGCCAAACTGGCACCTGCGCCACTGGTAGGTACCATTTCCAGCGGGTGCTCGTGTTTCTCCTTGGCATAGCAAGCGTCGCACACGTCGAAGTCCGGGCATGTGTGGCAATGCCAGCGATTGCCTGTCACAATGTCGCGCGTGCAAGCGTTGCACTCGTACACGTAGGCATTCGGGTTCGGATTGCCCAAGTGGTACAAAGCCATCATGGACGAGTGCTTTGCACGACGCAGCTCGTCGAACTGGTAGTGATTGCCCTGGCACAGGCTCAAAAAGGCCTGTCGCGTGTCAAAGAACTCGCTGTCGTTGATCTCGTCCGGATCAATGCAACGTTCTGGCAATGCCATGATTTCTTTTGTGAGAGTATGCAGTCGTGCCTGCAGTCGGTGATGGGCCGCCGACACACCGGCAGTGCATACGACCTTCAGTTTCTGATAGCATCCATCGCACAGCGCCATTTGTACCACCTTCGGGTTCAAACCATGCTCCGTTTTCACACTATGGTCGCGCCACAGCGCGCCCTGCACTACTGACGTGTTGCACACTCGGCAGCATGGCACCAGCTTCACGACTAAGAAGTCGTCCTTCATGGGCTCGATCACCTCGCTCAATTTATGCATCAGAGGGTCCGACAACTTTCGGTCAGCTGCGTCCAGCGATTTGACAGTAAGCGTGCGATTGCTTATCAACGGCGTCTCGTCGTCGTTGTCTTCGTCCTCATCACATAGCACTTCTTCGCCTGACGTAGTCTTCCGACGTTTCGCCTTCTTCGACTTAGACTTCTTGTTTGCAGCCTTCTTCGTGTCCGACGTTTTTCGCTTCTGCGACTTGGAACCGCGTTTGTTGACCACCTTTTTTGGTTTTTCAGCGTCCAACTTTTCGATCAGGTCTTCTACCAAGCCGACCCAGTAATCGCCCTCGAAGTATGGCAATGCACATGGCGTATTGTCGTTGCACCAGTAGTCGTCGTACATGTTCGTAATTTGCCACACGACGCCTTCTTCTTCTGCCTTCACCAGCATATCGACGTACCAAGCACGCAAGCGATCCGACTTTGGCGTTTTCTGCGCCTCTGGATGGCAGTACAGGATATAGTCGTCTCCCTTGAGGGGTGGGCACGCCCACAAGTGTGCAGTATGAAAACCTCGTTGCTTGACGAAATCGAAATATGCAATCAACAGCTCGTGGTATACTTTTGTTCGAAGGTGGGGCGGCTGGAAGTAGTTCACAGAGTCCAGGTACGAAATGTACACGCGCCGCGAGTTGCAGTCCGCTTCTTGCTCGTCAAACTCGTGCACATACATGCCAAACAGCAAAACCGACACACCATCCAGCTCCTGGAACATACAAATGCACTTGGACTTGAAGCGGTGCTCCGAAGTATACTTGTGGGAATCCTTGTACCGCTGGAACATTTTATCGCGCACCATCAGCTGCTTTTCAATATTCGACACCAGACGCACGGTCAAGCCCTCAGCGGTCTCAACGTCTTTTACGTCACGCTGCGTCCATTTTGCCTCGTCCTCACGCTCTGCCTGCAGTGACTTGATGATACGCCGTTCCAGAAAATCAGACAGCTTCGTACGCGGTAGATCTTTTGCACTAAAAGCATGTCGGCCAATTTTATACTTTTCCGGTTCGCTTTTCCGGTGCTCCAGCAAACATTCTGGACACAAAAACTCACTCCCCGGCGACGTCGTAATGGAATGGACCGTTCCTTTTGATCCAGAGGAAGACGAATTCTTCACAACCGTAGTTGTCGTCGTGACGGCAGAAGACTTTGCAGCAGACGAAGAAGGCAATGGAGACGTTTCGCTGCCCTCTGTTGCCTGATTGCCCTCAGATTTGACCAGCTGCGGCTTTTTCTCACTGTCAATCTTGCCGTTGAAAAGGGCACAAATCTGGTGAACCCAGCGCTCACACTTGTCGCATTGCACCCAAGGCTCCTCGTGCACTTCGTCATTCTTTTTACGCGCAAGCGCACCCTTTTGGTACTGGCGACCTTCGTTGTGCTTTATAACATCAGGCAAGCTAGCGTAGCACTGATGGCAGCAGTGGTATTTGTTGTCTGCTGACATGTAGTAGTAGCAGTTCCGCCGAATGCGACTATTGCATTCGCCGTTGCAGTACAGTACCGCGGGCTCGAAAACCATTCGCTCAATGCCACATAAACGGCACGAGCTCTCCTTCGCGCGGGCAGCCTTTTCGTCCACGTCAAATTCGGCTACCAGCTTGCGCATTTCACCGTTGAAATCGGATAGCATATCTTTTGCAAGACTATATACGTCTTGGTCTTCGCTGTTGTACTGCATTGCATTCAGGAACGTAGTACGCACGTCCGTAGCAAACTCCTCTGTGTGCTTATACACGCCTACTTCGAGCTTCTTTTTAACAGTTCCCAAATCCATCGGCTTACGAATTATCTTGAAATAATTTGGAATGTTCAAAGCCACTGGGTCGACAGGGGTGTTAAACACCCACCCGAACTTGTGGTCCATCATGCCTTTCAATAGTGCCTCCAACTTCTTCTTCAGAGTTGCCGGGGATACTGTAGCATTGTAGCCTGTAACCAGAGAATTGATATGAGAAGCCAGGTCCTCATTACTCAGTTCGTTCAGCACAGACATCGGAACTTCAGAGGACGCTGGTGGCGCCGGTGTTGCCGGGGCAGCGGAGCTTACGTTCGTCTCACTTCCGTTAGTTGCAATAATTGCTTTGGGTGTTCCCACCGCACCTGCAGGCAACTGCACAGTTTTGCTCGCATCCATTCGGCGATGCTCCACCATCATAGCATTCAGCTTCGAATTGTTCATCGTCAGCGGGTTAATGGTCACCTCCTGCTTCACAGAAGCCTGTTTAGAAGTTGTTGCCTCTCCATCGCGAGCTGTCCTCTCGGGTTCTTCTTTGACCGTGACGCCAACTGACCCCGAGGCTGATGATGCAGTGCCCGTTTTCCCAGTTTCTTTCGTTCGGCCTTGATAAGAGTCTAGCACTTGCCCTGGAGCAGCGGTGTCCGATGGCAACACTGGTCGAGGGCCATTCAATACTGTCAGCGGAAGGTTGCCAGTCGATTCGTGCGCGGCTGTCAATGTGTTTAGCGGCGCAGCTACTGATATAGGAGTCGCAGATGTGTCTTGTAGTTCCGTTGGCATCTCCAAAGGCTTTCCGGCAACCAGAAGGCTGTCATCAACTTTCAAAGGAACATCCGCATCTTCCTCACCAAGTAGGTCGTCAGGCGACGGCTTCACTGACGTCACGGGGGTACTAACAGTCGGTCCCTGCGTCTTTTGAAGAAAGTTTGGCTGCTGTATTTGAGTAGGCATCGGAATAGGCTGCATTGTCGCCGCTGGAGCATTCGCGACCGCGTGGTTGGATGTGGCCACGCCATTTCGAGTCGACATCGACGTCGTAACACTGCGCTCATCAATTACGTGCTTCACAATGTTCCTCTGACTCCTGCATTGCTTAAACTTCACATCCAGTTGCTTGAGCATAACACGCTTCTCCTGCACTTGTGCTTCGTATTGGGATTTTTGCATCGGGTCTTGTGTGGAGTTCGACAGATGCAACAGCTGCCGACATTCGTTCATAATCGCATTCATGCGCGCACGAATTTCTTCCACCCACTTTTCGAGCTTCACGCAATGCGCAGTCAACTGCTCCAGAGAACGCCCACTAAGCTTCTGCTTGATCAGCTGAAACTGTCGCTGCTCGTCCTGCATCGGGTTCGTGGCGGCCACAGTGTTCGATGCTTTTACATTTCCCATCATACCATTCAGCCCGGTGGACTGTGCTGCCGGCACCGCTACCCCCAACGTATTCGTGGGGTTGGCGTCCGCTGGAGCGGAAGAGTTCCCGGCATGTTCAACATTTTGCTGTTGCCGCTGCAAATTCATTGCTGCGAAATTGTTGCTGCTTTGAGGGTGCTGTAGATGCGCAGGCATTGCCAAAGGCATGGGCTGCTGCACGTGCGGAGCAATTTGTTGCTGCTGTTGCTGCATTTCCTGTTGCTTCTTCATCGCAAGCATGCGCTGTCGACGCTGACTTGCGGCAATAATCTGCTGTAGAGCACGATCGGCGTCCAGCATCAGCGTGCCATTTTTCTCCTTCACTTCTACGGGATATCGAACAACTTGGCACACGAGACACTTGGCATTTGCGCATTGCTGGAAGTGCGATAGCACGTACTTGGACGAAATGCAGTGGCTATACGAGCAAGCGTTTGTCTGTCGGCAGGCGCTCATGTGAGCCCAGAGTCGCTTCATTTCACCACAACTCGGCGTAGTTGCGCACGTGCCTTCAGGTGACTTACACCACATAGCATGCCGTAACAATAGCAACCGCTGCTGCTGCCGCTGCAATACTTCTTTCGATCCAGCTGTTTTCACGTCTTCGCGAACCATGAGTCGCAACTTGTTATGGTACTCCGTTGTCTGGTTCTTGTCCAACGCGGATGTTACTTGCTGTGCCTTGGCCTTAAACTGCCAAATAATCTGAGCCGATTTGTTTCGAGTAGCAGTCGACGCTGGGGAGCTAGCTGATTGTGGGCCGAAACTAGTAGCGTTTCCATTTCCGTTGAATACACTAGCACCTGGGGCTGTCTGCGCGTTGTTCTGCCCAGTGATGGGTGACGCACCCGTGCTGGTCATCGACAAACGATCCGCCATAAAGTCAACCCCTGAAGGCGTCACTTGCATGCGCGCCTGCGCTTGACATACCTCTACTTTGACTGGAGTCTTAACCTGTGGCGGTAGATCCTGGAGCTCCGGCGGCATTTGGATAGCCTGTGAAGCCAGGCCTTTTACGTCCAAACTCGCCTCATTTGCCATCGGTGCAACGGCGCGTTGGCCTGGAAACGGAATCGGGGTTCCAGAGGACGCCAAAGCCGCTGGTCCAGCATTCGCTGGTGACGTATGGTTTGGTGCGCCAGGCTGACGTATTGCGTTGCCTCCAACATGTCGCTGGTGAGTCTGAGCACTACGCACAATGCTGCGCAAACGCGACTGCAACGTGCTGGTGTTCGCATATTCTTCGCGGGATGCAGCAATGCGGTAGCACTCATCTTCGAGACGGTGTGCCATCTCTGGCAGCTTCTGCAGCCAGTTTGCAGGGGCATTCGACCTTTGGTTCTGCAACACCCGCATGATGTGATTCAGCATCTCCTTGCGCAATGCCTGATCGGCTGATGTCTGCCACGTTGGGCGCGTTGTTGACGTTGTCGGTCCGGTGCTAGGGCCTGACGTTTGAGGTTGGGAGCGCGCAGTGTTTACGTTGGTGTCCCCACCCAATGTCAACGTTTTGTTGCCTCCGCTCATTTGACCTTGCGCGATCATTTGAGACGAACCGTGGCTTGCTGCAAGCATCTGCTGTTGATTCTGCAGTTGCGCTGCACGCTGTTGGTGCGCTTGCTGATTGTTTTTCTGCATCTGTTGCTGCTGTGCCTGTCGTTGACGCTCCCGCAACGCCTTCTGCTGTTGTTGCTGACGTTGAAGATTGAACTGACGCTGCTGTTGCATCATCTGCATATAGTGCTGCTGTTGCTGCATCTGTTGCTGCTGAGGCATATAGTACGACACCTGGGGACTCATCATGTTCATTTGATGCTGCATGTTGCTAAACATCATCTGATTCGTGTCTTTCATGCCAAAAGCATTTGCGCTCATATCCATTCCCATGGTATCCATCCCCAGACCTAGACCCACGTTCACACCCGCGTTCATCCCCATATTGGCGTCAAGGGCCAACCCGTTTCCACGATTGCTCGGCGCAGTGCTGGTACTGGTTGTATTCATATAGTTCATGACGTTCAGACCCGTAGACGATAATGGCATCGCGCCACTGTTACTCAGCGACTCCGTGGCCAGTGACGCCGGGAACGGGATGGCATCAGCTGACGGCGTCCTCGTCATCATGGACATCGAGGTGTCTGGCATCGCTAGGGTGCCATTATTGCTGCCACTCAAGCTGCTACTTGTTGTCGTTGATGCCGTGGGTGAGTTGAGCTCGTCAGGAAAGTCAATGAGTCCTGCGGTCGACGACGACGACGAGCTCGGCCCTAGCATCAGCGACGACGTCTCGGTCATTAGATCGTTCGTGCTGCCCGTAAAGTCCAGACCACTAGTCGACAGATCCAAGCCACCCACGCCGACACTGGCACTACCGCCCACGTTAAACTGGTTCATAAATCGATTGTCGCCTCGGTTCATGTTGACGCCAAAATCCCCGACAAACGCATGCGACGAGTCCATTTCCGTCAGTCCACGAGACGACACAGAGACAGAGCACAGACGTTAGTTGCGACGCGGTGTCTGTGGTTGCGTCTTGCGGGAAGAGAGTAACACCCCGAGCGTCTGTGTATCGTGTGGTTGCGCCCGACAGAGACAGACGCAAGCACACACTCGTGTCGAGTATACGCACACAGTATTAGACAAGCGACGCAACAGGTTACTCGGCCCCCAAACGCGTTTGTACAATGGCGACGAGCCCACGCGAGCGTCGGCTACGGCCACAGGTCGAAGTGACGGACGGGAATGGACACAGCGCGGGCGCTAGCGACGCGATCCGAGCACAGACAGTCACGACTGGTAGCAAAAAGCGGCACGGAGAAGATGGACGTGCGGGGAAGCCGACCGGGGGTACGCTGTGCCGCGTACAGGGGTCAATGCCGTCCTCGCTCGGCGCTGCTGGAGCTTTTCTTTTTCTCACACGACTTTACTGTAGACAGCGAGCCGGCCACGAGGGGTTTCAGACTCGCCCGAGTAGAGTGGGTGTGTAATATTGGGAAACTAGTTGGCATACAAAATCGAGCTATTGCAAAGTATTTTCAAAAGTCGATCGAATGTACACGGCTAGGCACAAAAAACTACGGCTCTGTTCCGATGCGACGTTTCCCAGTGCCGGAGTGTTGATGCTGCAGTATAAAGAGCAGTAGTAAGTAGCAGCAGCAGCAGCAGCAGCGATCAGTAGGAGCGATATATGTAGCGATCGTACGGTTCTACCCGCCCCGACGCTTGTACGTGAATCCATGTCAAAGCCCCTTTTGACCTATTGGCGACTTGTCAATCGACTGATTCGTGAATTGCAACGTAGCAGTCCGCCTCAACTCTGGTACGACAGGTCATGTGGATGGAAGATCAACGCAGAAACAGGACCTGGTGATGGTGATGATGTCGAGGACCTGACGACGAGGGCGATCGTCGCTGCACTTTCAGGTTGCTGGGTTCCCTTTCGGTTGCACTCACGAGTGCTGACAGGTTGCGGGACAAGAACAACTGGCACTGTGGCACGACATTACAAACTGCTCGAAGGAGTGTCGCGCGGCCGACTCAGGAAAGTGACCATTAGCTCTCCGGGAAAGATCTCCTTTGTCATGGACTGACTCGATGCACTTGACGATTAGGGCAGTGAGATGTCTGACTCCTTCAACACAACCGTCGCAATGTCGGAAGCTGTGTGGCCGTCCGTAGCAATTATACGACAACACGTTGCTAGCGATAGGCCGTGTCGCCCAGTCGTTTGCCGGCGGACACGTAACAGTGCACCTTCTCCTTCAAGGCTGCATGTTCCGCCGTTTATGATGATGATGATGACGGGAGTTACGAGCGTGATACACATTTTGTTTTCCGGTGAAATTGGCTCGTCGGTTGCGTCAGTCTTACCTTGGCACGCTGGGCTGCTAAGAGTGAAGGCGGAAAGCGTAGAACAGCGACTTGCATGACCTCTTGAGCACATGCTACTGTAGAAAAATAGGTAACGTGTCTGCTGCACAGCTACTCTGTGAAAACGATCACATCGAATGATCCGGAGTTGCCCGAAGATCGCGGCAGTCCATAGCTTGACAGACGCCACCCAAACGGACGAGACGGCTCGACACTGCGCCACCGCTATGCACCATGTCCTCGCCGCAACTCACAGGCTGACATGTCATTGCTCCTTTGCTACCACATGGTGATCGCGAAGCGATTTGCATGCACGAGACCCGCACCTCTTGACGTTTACAAGAACTGCAATTCCAGACAAGCGTGATCGGTTGATTTAGTCTGCAAAGAATGCAGCCGCAGGACGAGTGGATACCGAATTCTTTTTGCAGTACACGTACCGGTTTCTTCCCGATTCTATTCAGTGCGTCTGATCAAATCAACCACGTGGGATCAACGTGTATACTTTACATGCGGGCGTCTGATTGTAAAACGTCTCGTCTGTTTTGTCGCTTGAGCGAAAAAAGTTGTTTTGTATACAAATGTAAACTGAAAGTAATGCTATCTTGCGCCGGGCAAAAGCCTAGTGGACTCTTGCTTGCTTTTCTTTTGTGGTCTACGCGAGCATTGTAGACGCTATTTGGCGCGAGCTCTCGAGCTTCACGCCTCTGAATGCTAGCCCATCATGTGAAAAGACCTGACCACCCAAGCGTAGTTCTGCCGACAGTCAGTGGCTCCTTACAAATGCGGAAACGTGAATGGTCAATGTGGGCAAATGTTCATGCTGTGATACAGAGCATCGCACATTATATGTGATTCACACTCGTGGCCGTTTACCGTTCTCTTCGAGCCAATGCTCAGCTTCGGCCCGCCGTTTTCTTGACGAAGCAAAGTGGGGCAGACGCGGTAGTTGGATCACGATCGAGCGCGCAGAATGCATCTGTCGTGCACTTGATCTTCAAGCAGGACTTTATGGTGGCCAAGATGGCAACGCTTACTTCTGATCTTCAGAAAGTCGTTGCCGATGCTGACACCACGACGGCGAAACCTCGCGGACGCTATGCGAGAAGGCTCGGGTCACGAACCTTCATTTCACATCGACTAGTTCATGTCAATATCACGTGTGGACGCTGTAGGGCGCATCATGCGTATGTGCTGTTATAACTAGGGTGTGAGCAGCACCTGCGAGTATGGGCTGGTCACTTCGTGATGTACCTCGACTGCTGATCAGCTAGTCTCACTCGACCAGGGACAGAGTACATGATCATGTTTTGCTGGATGATGCGGACGCATGTGGGCCGTACGCGAATACGAGTGAAGGACGTCAGGCCTTTGCGACGTGCGGCAGAAGCATATTCATTTCGGCACTACCACACTAGAGACGCCCTGTCATCATCTACTATTCAGACACCAGATACATCGTGAGTATGGGCTAACTCGGATCTCGGCGATGGAAATGAGCCTATTCAGCAATCGCAAGGACACCAAGTACCGTGCGGCTCACTGCAGAAAGCTGTGAATGGCATTTCGGGCGACAAGAAAGGTGACATAGAAACTGACAGGGCCGCACACATGTTGCGTGAGTAAGTCGATTCAGATGTGATGCAAACGACGAATCCCATCTTTGAGTCGGATACAATCTGACCACACGTGGGTCACAAAGTACAGAGCGTACACCCATGGGACGATGCATGACGCAAGTTTTGCTGGCGAACTTCACTGGGAGTGGTGCTTTCATCTGGACAGGCATCATATCGATGCGTGTTTGTGAACAAAGTATACAGAGTTATATTGAATAGTCGTGGTCGTTCGAACGCTTCGCTCGACGAGGGCAAGACGCCTGGATCCGATTCAGTGATGGAGCACCAGATCTGATTCAGTGATAGGAGCACCAGACCCTCACTTATGGCATTCTCAGCGCAACACCCAAGTCGGTCGGCGGATACAACTACAGCTCCACACAGCAGCGCTTCACTCACCTTCTGGTCGCTTTGGCTGCTCATCATTTCCTGACCAGGTGGGAAAAGGGGAAAGCTGCGGGATCAAAGAAACCCAAATCAGGTTGGTAGAAATGCTCGGGAGCACGATCGCTTTCACAAGCTATTTCCCGGCCGGACACCCGGCACGCAGTCAGCGCGTCGGCAGGCTGTAGACTTTGGTATTCTGCAAGTCTGTTAGCGCCAGGCAAACTTGCACATAGTGAGCTTCAGTTCCATGCTCGCGCAAGTTCTCGGATGTGAAAATGCAATCACCGCTGCACGTACGATTACAACAGACACAAGACAAAAAACCTGTCTAAACCGACTTACTGCGAAAACAAGCTCGGTCCGTAAGAACAGATATCAGTCAATCTGCCTCCCCCGCAGCTCTACGCGACAGGCATGTACTTTGATTGTGGAGGGCGCATGACGTGGATTGGACTAACACATGCGACAGAACCGCGTCAAGATGAACAATCTAGGGTTCACCTTCCGTTTCAACATACAATGTCTTCGGTGAAACAGAATCTTTTAAGGATAAACTCAAGGCATTAGACGTTTGTGTGGCTGATTGATAAGGACTTATCGTCTTGTACAAATGCAGTCCTTACGTGTTTCTGATCAAGAATCCTGGCAAGATTGCAGATGAGCATGAATTCATTGATTCGCTCTAGCCGGTGCATTTAGTCTGCTACTGTCTCTTCGGCGAAAATCTACCCATTCCTTACCGGCCGTGGCTATCGGTGCAGCTGAACATGATGTCTTCTAGACACTTTCACGAAACATTAACACGGTATTTTGCAATCAAGTGGTGCTATGATTATTTTTGCAGTGCATGTGTTAATCGAAAGACGTAGGAGCATGGAGAGCATCACGAGGCCGGACATCGAGTTGCGCTTCGGTTCTTCTGCTGCAAACAGGTGCAGAGGCTTTGACGTCACCAAAAACTCGGTACGCTGATCAAAGCGCTGTATATAAGCGCTGTTACTAGATTCGAGATACTCATGTATCTTCGGTCGAATCGAAAATGGCATTGACTCTAGATGCGACCGTCGGTCGTCCGTGGTTGGTACACTTTAGTTCTGTTATTGACAAGGCGACTGGTGAGACGGTGCTCCTACTATTTTTGACCCACCACGAAGGATCACGGACGTATCCGGTCTTGCTTTGTGTCAATATACTGGTCAATGCTCCTGCAATGCACTTCCCAATAATTTGGAAACGAGTGGCTCATTTGCTCCGTTCCCCGCTTCAACATGTTTTTTATTAGTATAGATAACCTAGAAATCCATGAAAAGGAACTACAGCGTCTGACGATGATGATGCGAGTATCATTACCAAAAATGTAGGAAGTAGAACGTTCGTTTCTCGTCAACGAAGAAGAGAGTAGCGATTACGTGACGAAACATCATATTGAAGTCAAGACCTCTTTTGTCAAGGAGACGATACATAATCAATTCCATCCTACTTTCTAAGATTTCATAAACGCCTCCACCACAACTGACACCAACAGAAGGAGTATAGAGCGCAGTGACAATTATGCCGATGGTGTAGTCGATCAACCGTGCATTC